TGTTATAGTAGCTGAAGTGTCGTTTAAAACGTGTCTTCGGTTTCTTGGTCGGACGGTTGTAAATGCCATTTTTGAGAACGGTACAACTGCAGTTAGAAATGTTACGTAAAAATTGTAATAAATGATTTGACTAAAGAACAAATAAATTTAACAAGGTTGTATGTATCGGTAGGACGTTCCTTCGAAAGTTAAACCGAGTTATTAGGTCAGTTACTGACACCAGCATAGAGTGAGTAGAAATGACATGTCCGCCTTTCCATAGATGGAAGTGTTTACGGGAAAGAGACACCGGATCTAAAGCTGCAGTAAAACGGGCAACAAAAACATGGGAACTTGTTTTGAAACATCACTACAACACGAATTGAAAAGCGATGTTGCTCGTTTTATCGCTACTCACGTTCAATTCTGTCTTGTAACAAATCAGTTTTCTGTAAGTTGCTTCAATACTGACCCTTGATTGGATAAAATTACCAGGAAGTGACGCCGTACACGACGGTTACGTCACTAGCTGCAAAACAAGTTCGCCTTGGGTCGTTAAAAAGCTGGTAAAACGTGCAACACGTACACCTTGTTACCCCGCCCCCCCCCCCCCCCCCCCCACCCCAAATTTTTTGCGTAAACATTGTCTTCAATTTCTTTTGGAACGACTGTAATACCCAGGAGAAATTAAAAGCCAGAGTTATGCAAAATTTTAGAGGGCAAACATGGTGTATTATGGGAGATATGCCTACGGCGAATTGAAGCAAAAGAAATAAGGGACGTACAAACGAGGTCAACAATCCTCTTCCTTCTTTTCGTTTTTTCTTCTTCTTTATTTTTTCACTCAGAATGTTATTGTGGAAATTTGTGCGTCATCACTGCCCCTCTTACTGTGAATCCTGTTTTGGCACATGTTTTAGACAACAAATTACTGTATTCAAGCAAGAGAAGCTCATTCGCTCTTGATTCAACTTGTGCCCAGTATTGTTACTGGCCCGGGACAGGTGGGCGCTATTTTCCCATTGCAAAACTACAAGACGAGACCAATATGGCGGACTCGCACACACAAAAACTGAAGACAGACCTCGTTCGTTCTATTACCCATCATCATTCCTTAAGTTACAACTGTATCTTTAGCGGGGTTGAGTGGTCTTATTTCCTGCTCGCTATAACAGTCTCATTTTCCACTCACTACACAATCCTCCCACGCAGACGTTCTTAGGCTAAGTCGTGGCCCACTTACAGGTCCTTACAGCACACTAACTTTTGAAACTTTATCCTTTGCAGTCAATCCTTAATTAAATTGTACAGATTAAGCACGCATTGCTGTTTCCATCATTCAATATTCCTGTCTCACAATAACAACCCAAAAAGCTTCAAAGTAAACTATTTTCTGTTAGACCTAACCCACGTGGTAGGCGTCCGAAAGGGAAGGAAAAGGGGTAATTAAGACCCGCGATAAATTTTTTGGTGCGTCAAAAAATTAACTCCAATGCTTTTTACTTAATATAAGATAGTGATAAGAGGCCTTTTGATCACGATAACAATCCAAAAAGACATGCGAAGTAATTTACACGAACTAATTAAAAACTAGAAGTACTATATATTACCGTAAAGAAAACTTGAAAAAGAAACCTCTCCTTGAGGATTGTCTGAACGAAGAGAGGAGAAACTATTGGTCTAATTAAGGGGCACCGGCTAAACTTCAGAATACCCACCCACTTCAGAATGCCACTTGTTAGCCTGCGCGTCTTTCCTCGCTCCTCGCCGCTAACTCGCCGCTGCGCTAGGGACGTTTTTTACCCGCTTGTCGGAACACTTTTTTTAAAAAACAAAACAAATTGTGCTACCTGTGAGGCTAAGCCCAATCAAGAAATGGGTCGAATCTGTGTCAAAAAAAGACAAAATGGTGGAGCGGATGGATCTCCCAGAAGGCTTTGCGTCCTACTCCCTCCTCAATAGAGCCGATATTTGCGGGGAGGGGACCGGTCATTTCAGGTTGTCTGGCAAACAGAAATTGAAGTCGAATTGGAGCGAACAAAAAAAAATTGCGTGGAGTTATTGCCCCTATATCTACGCCCAATGATTATCTAGATAGAGTAGTCGATGACGTTGTTAGCCCGAGCTGGAGCCAAAAAAATGCGTTCCCACGGTCCCCTCGGAAAAGCTTCAATTTGATGGAATACTCTCCCTGCGTGTGAAAAGTCTTTCCTTACAAGATTACAAGAAAGGAATGCTATTTGTAGATCGCCCCGTCAAATAGAAACATATTCACTTGGATAGTTTGAAGGGCTTTAAATGCGATATCGGACAGAAATGTGAAAACTGAAACTTAATTTTCTTTGCGAGTTTTTAAGGAACGGAGAGTTACTGATATTGAACAGTATTTTAAACACCAAAATTGACTCTTTCTTGTTTTATAAGTGTAGAACGACAATAATAATGTTTGGAATTTCTGGTTAGATCATATCAGTCGCGTTATACTGTCATGCTATATTTTGCCGGGGGCAGAGGGGCTGGGGGAGGGTTGCATTGAGGAAATAAATGTCCCTGTTAAAGATAATGCCAATCGTTTCTTGTTTCAAAAGGGGAACTACAGTCAACTTCCTTCAGTGTTCTCCTTATCAGGCGGTACAATTAATTTACCACCTGAAGCAACACTTCTTACCGCCTGCAACCGCTTGAAGGTTTACTAAAATGAAATATGTAGTTTTAAAAAATACGCAAGGTGCGATCCGATCCGATCAAGGAAATGAATGAATATATGGAAAAGTGCTTAAGTATACACAGCTTTTCTTTTTATGGGCCACGCATTTTAGAAAGAAAACAGTGAATACAGAGTAAAATTATTGGGATCAAACGTTTTAAATTGTTGTCTAAAGATATCAACGGCCGATTTGCGTAAAAGAGGTCTTAAAATGAGGGAATGACGTTTCAAAGAACTTGGCTTCTCCTAGGGTGACGCCATGTCTCTCACTCCACCTCTGGGGCATGAATGGTCCCTTACCTGCTGAGCTAAAATTTAGGGAGAACACTGTAGCTTTATAGCGGATCTCGGGACCTCGAGTTAGTGTCCTCTTTAGCGAGAGTCCGTAATAGCGGGAGTTTATTTCAGTCAAACTACGACATCTATGAGATAGGATAATCATATCTAAAGCATCGATTTTACCTGAGTTAGAGGCGATCCCTTCTGAAACATGTATCTGCATATTCTTGTCAAGATCTTTTGCGGTATCTTTTGCCGGCGAGAGAGTCATCTTGTCAAGATTTTTGATAGAAGTACTCTTAACGCAGGAAAAACAGTGAATGCGAGATTCCAGCTCGACAAGTCGTTCGTTGATTATCGTATTCTTCACCCAGAGGCATCCGCAAACAAAAACTAACATCACAGAAAGAAACGATGGCCTGACAGATGGAACAAAATGAAGGAGTCGATGAGATGTTGAGGTGTTTAAGGGTTTCATTTCTTCAGCTCCACAATCTCTTTCTTTAACAGCCACACAAAGACGAACGTTTGTGGGAAAGTTGCCAGCATAAATTTATCTTTGTCGGAAAATACATGGTTGATATGACAACTGACGTGAAGCTACCCTGGATTTTGACCTACCTTCAGTTATTCTTACATTCTCGTGTTGCACTGGTCAAAGTTTCAGAGTCACGTACACCGTTCTTCATTAGAAAATAGGGAGTTTAAGATACGACGACGGCGACGGCGACGGCGACGAAAATGTTGCTTGAAAAGTGAATTTGCGTGCTTGCAATCTCTGGCCCGATTACTCCAACTCATTTACTCATATTCAAGTTTAGAAAGAGAAAGAAACTTTAGCTGTCGTCTGTTTACGTCCTCCCGTAAAAAGTGAAATTAGGCATTTTCCCGTCGTAGTCGTGAAGTGACGGAAAAGAAATGTACAAAAAAGCGTGCAGAGTTGTTTTGCCTATTCAACCTATTGCTTTTTTGACGTTCTCGTTGTCGTAACCAGCGTGGCATCTTAAAGTCCCTAATAATAGCCAGTGTACAGAAGCCCCCTCTCCTGAAAAAAAATTGGAGAGTCCAGGCTCTCTCCCCCATTGTTTTTTTTTTTTTTTTTTTTTTTGAGAGGAGGGGGCGTCTGTACACTGGCTATGGAAATGAGCACATGTAAATCAAAGAGAAATGTCCTCAATTCTAGTACTTCCGTGACAAATACACTGAAATTGGCGCTCGAATAAGGCGCATTTATTATTATTATTATTTTTTAACAGAGCACGTATGCATTTTGCGGTAAATTATAATAATAGTGTTAAATAAACAGGCGAATTGCCAACTAGCCTGCGTGCCGGGCCTGCGTGGCAGGCTGGACGTGCCCTCCTTCCTCGAGCCTAGCCTCCCCGCAGACGTCCGTTGGGGTTCGTGTGTCACGCATTCATTTCTCCCCGAGAAATGAATGCGTGACAAACGAACCCCAACGGACGTCTGCGGGGAGGCTACCTCGAGCCCAGATTCCCCTTTTCCTTCCCTTTCGAACGCCTGCCACACGGGCTAATTACCAACAGGAAGTTTTTATTTTTTTGTGGCTTACCAAGCTACAGTTGACCAATCGAGTTTTTAATAACAGGATGCGAGCGGTATATTTCTGTTAGCTCCTTTTTTGTCGGGTTCAGCTGGATATATAAACGCCAGGGTGACACGTATCATGCCTTTTATAAATAAGTACCCCCGGTAAGGCCCAAAACGTCGGTAAAAAGGCCCAAAAGGGCTAACAGATGCTTTTAAGACTGTGACAAAGTCGAGAAAACGCCTGGTTTTGTGATTTATTCATATTTTTAAGACAGTGTATTTACAGCAGTTTAAAAAAGGGATGAAAATTTTAAGTTCTAAACTAGGCTTGTGAAAGGGGAACCATTTGTCAATAAAAGGGATATGAAAGGGGTACCTTTTCTTTCAAAAATGGTATAAAAGTCCGGATAAAAGGTCAAGGGGTTAAACTTCGTTGCGGAGCCTCCCCATATTCTAATTGAATAGCCGCAATTTCGTCTTTGCACTTGATAAAGCCTTTTCGAGCCCTAATGCGTGTCAACATCATGGGGGGAAGTGTGTATACTGAAATGTTTCAATTGGCTTGAAATGTGTGCTTTTGTTCACGAATGATCGGGTTTTTTCGGGTTGTTGATGGCTACTGATTTCGGTAGTATTATGAACGATTTACACTTGGCCCAGAGGTATGATGATGTGACGCAATTATTCCTCTCTGATCAATATCCCTGGCCTTCAAATAAATTCTTTTTTGGTTATTTCCCCAAGTCTCGCCAGTTCCTCCTCGTTCCGGTAGCCAGCCTTTATTAGAAATGACGCTGATTTGAAGGAGAGTGAGACACCGGGTAAGAGGTCAAGAACGACAAGTGAATAGACACTCATCCGGGTGAACTTAAAAATTAACCACCAGCAGAAAAAGACAACGAGAAATTGCTCGAATTTTATTATTATCCAGACTTAAAATCATAATATACGGAAAGTTAACAAAAAATTTCGTAATCAAGTTGCTACTAACAAGTTCTATTTCTAGCCATACGTTATGCTACAAGGGCAGAAACACCTTGAAATTATTCTTCTTGGAAAAGGAGTTTCACCTGAAAATATTGCTATTACTTAAGCAGCAAATCTTATTCACTATGTTGTTAATTCTTGAAAAAGTATATATTAAACTATTAAATGTTCCTCTTTTTTTAAAACGAATTTTCTGTAATCTATATGTATTTTGACGGTAGTAAAGTTCAACTGCGTGTTTCAGCTGTACGAGTCCAGTTAATAGGCCTGAGCCTGCCAACAAGCTTTCCATTTGGTAGCCTGCGTAGCTGGCGGTATTGTGTGGGTGCGAGATTAAAGTTTGGTCGCCACTCGTGACGGCTCCGCCGTCAAATCTCACTCGACTATATTACAACGGCTCCGCCGCCAAATCTAACTCGACTACTGTGCAATACCGCCAGCTACGCAGGCTATCCATTTGGGGACGTCGCGAGAAATCATGCGAGAGGGACACGCGAAAGGAGACGCGAGAGCGAGAAGCGTGGAAAGAAATCTTCCGCCCCTTGAGGCTCGCTTAGCTCGCCAGAAATGGAGAGGGTACTAGGACGGGCTCGCTGCAGGTGGTCAGTCACGTGGTACAGAAATGCACTGCGGCGTGTCTTGCTTTCCATCATGGCGGTATTGTACCACGTGACTGACCACCTTCAGAGGGCCTATTTTTCCCGCCATTATTGACGTGGAATTCTGACAATTCGCATCTCTGCTATAGGATTCTGATGCGCAGGTTGGAGAACAAAATATAACCTTCAAACGAAAATTAGTTGCTGAAAACACCGAGATAGCTACAAAGCTGCACGAGTTAGCTGGAGATCAGAATGTTACCCTGAAACAAAAAATAGTTGCTGAAAACACCGAGATAGCTACAAAGCTGCATGAGTTAGCTGGAGATCAGAATGTCAACCTCGAACGAAAATTAGTTGCTGAAAACACCGAGATAGTTACAAAGCTGCATGAGTTGGCTGGAGATCAGAATGTCACCCTTAAACAAAAATTAGTTGCTGAAGACACCGAGATAGCTACAAACGTTCACGAGTTAGCTGGAGAACAGGATGTCGCCCTTAAACGAAAATTAGATGCTGAAATCACCCAAATAGCTACAAAGCTGCACAAGTCTGCTGAAGATCAGACTGTTATCCTCAAACGAAAATTAGTTGCTGAAAACACCAACATAGCGTCAAAGGTGCAAACGTTAGCTGAAGATTGTTTTGCACGAAAGGATAATGTTGTCGATTTAAACAAGGAAATAACAGAATTACCAGCCACAGAAGAAAAGAGCAGAAAAATAACAAAGAAACATGAGACAGACATAAAGCTTGTATTGCCTAGAAGTGAATCGAAGAGATTTACATTGCGTAATAGGATTCACATTTATAACAGCAAACGCTGGAAGAAGTGTAAAGAAAAAGCTCTCCGAAAAAAAGAGAAGCAAAAATTATGTCGAGGAAGACTACAATCAAAGAAGGGTAAACATACCATTACCACACGAGAAGGGAAAGATAAACCTGAGACTAGTGCAAGATTGTCAACTGCCGAAGACTTTGTTGAAAATCAAACGTCTTCGTTGTTGGGGAATTCAGTCTCTTGTCATGCAAATTCGAAACATCAGAAATCAATGAAGTTTAATTTTTTTATTTAATGAAAATACGATCGACCCGAAATATAGAGGTGGACTCCGCGTAATGAGCTACAATCAACAATGGTATAAAAAAAGACTGTTGTTGAGCAAACTCGCATTTTTTGCGCGCGCTTTCATTTCTGCAGTTAACGAAAGAGTTCCTGGAAATGCAGCTTGAAGGTTATGGTAATACCTCTTAGGCCCAGGCCAAACGTCGAACTTTTCATGAGACGAACCAAACTCTAATTTGGGTCCACATAAATTAAGTTAAGATCGTCTGTTGGGTCAGATGTCGAACTTAGGACGCGTCGAACCAACCAACTGGATCAGATAAGAAGTAAATTTCTCAGGCTAAATATACATTATCATACAAATTTTCAATATATGAGTTTAGTTCGTCGCATGTGAAGATCGACGTTTATCCCGGAGACGATCTTTAGAGATTCTATCCGTCTGACGCCGACGGATAGAACGTCTTAATTGGGACGATCCAAACTCATTCAGACGAACTTAACTGAGCCAGACGTCGAAATTTTCATGAACTTAACTCACTAAGTTTTGTTCGACGTCTGATGAAAAGTTCGACGTTTGACCTCGTCCTTAGTAGTTTATTATAAACTGTGAAATATTGCTGCCAAGGAAACCGTAAATAAAAGGGTGGCGCAGTGGTGAGAGCACTCGCCTCCCACCAATGTGGCCCGGGTTCGAATTCTGGCGTCGACGCCATATGTGGGTTGAGTTTGTTGTTGGTTCTCTCCCTTGCTCCGAGAGGTTTTTCTCTGGGTACTCCGGTTTTCCCCTCTCCTTAAAAACTAACACTTTCAAATTCCAATTCGATCTGGAACGCACGGACACGTTTCAACGAGTTCTTATGAACTCCTTAGTGATCCGTGGGTAAACAAATTACAATTACAAAAAAGTATTACCAAAAACGCCGCCGAGCATCGTCGATTAACCAGAAAAAAAGCGATGATACTTGTGGTAACTTTATTTCGAATTTGCACCTAAACAACAACTAAAACTTTTCGTCTAACTTCCTTAATTTTAGTTTTTTAAAGCCCCGTGACAACAGACGCAACATAGTTGGATTTTACATGTTGCGTACATTTGCACACCCTATTGCATGTTGTTGCGTGTTGTTGTTGCAACATTGTTGGGCCAAGATGTTCATGTTGTGTCCATTTGCACGTAAACATTGGCGAAAATCTGACAGCTCAGCTAAATGTGGAGCGACAACAGGTACTCCACACGTTCGAAGTCCCTCCTCGCGTGCACCCCTTCTGCCTCCAAGGAGCTTTCTCGCAGGCTACCTTCATTTCTAACTTTGTTCCCTTTAGACGTGAATATATTAGCTGGCCCAGTGACAAATGCAGGTACAAAAGTTCCATAAACAATGTTCAGAAACCCCATCAAAATGTAATGATCGAGTGGGAAATAATATTGCAGGATAAACTCAATATTGAAAAATAAATAAAGCATAAGCAAATAGTAAGCTGTAAAGACTGAGAAACGTTCACAGACTTCCTTCAACGGCAAAGAAGTCTGGGTCTCTAGAGTATTCTCTTTCGGCTCAGTCCATTTTATCCTGGTCCCAGAAAGCAAAAACAATAAACCCAGGCCGACAAAATTGAAGATCATGATATAAAGGTTAGTCGCCACTGAAGCGTAACTTACTAAGGCTTCAATGAACCTTTGCAGAAGCCAAAGGATTGCAACGTTTGTAATTGTCATTCCCAATGTCGCTGATACCAACTTTAAAGTAGATGCTGTGCGAATTTTGTGTTTTAATGGGTGTTCGGGTTTGTCTAAACTAACAGCTTCCAACTGTGCGAAGTTACAAACTGCAAGAAATACCGCAGTCTTCTGCACCTCTTTGAGTAAACAGCAATATTCATAGTTTTCATCGGGGAGTTTGTTCCACGCATCCACGGTCACAGCGACAAGAATCGTGGCTTGAAAAACAAACTGACATATTACCCAAGGCGTGAGGTATCTGTTTTCTTTCCTAAGGCAGCCTAATAGCATTCGTATATTGAAGAACAATCCTAGTATGTCAAGACCAACTATTGAAAGCAAATAAAGCAGGGGACTCATTTTTTTTCTCCAAATTGAATGTTATTCCGTAACAACTGACATCAAGGCTGGTCTCGCTTATGCAGATAACCTAATGATATTTGACCAATATCATCCGAACGTGCCGGAACTTTTCCCACAATGTTTCGCCGGGCTTTTCGAATCCACTTCTCATCAGTGGTCGTGGTAAATTTAGTCTTTGAATCAGTGTGTATTGATTCATATATGAGCTTTTTCTTTCTTTTCTTTTTCTTAAAAACAGTTAACTGCGAATTAACAATCTTACAGCGAATTCTACACATGTCCATAGGTATTCATATTCTTTCCTATACTGAAAACAATAATCTCGTCCGGATGGACGGTTTTGAAATCGGTCTTCGCCTGTTTTCGCCTATACGTGAAGGCTCCGCCCAACTGCAAGTGGGGGCCCTTTTTCATGCTTCAGGTATATAAAAAGGTAGGGACTTTCTTAAGTTGAAGTACAGTAAAAACCCACATATAAGAACCTAGAATTTTCGAGGTCAGGCTGAACAGGTTCGTATATTTTAGTGTAGTTTTTCACAATTCAGGCTGATTAGGTTCTCATGAGGTTCTTATTTTTCAGAGGTTGTCATAGTGTCACCATTGGCAGAAATATTGTACCACCAATACATATCAAGTTCAAGGTCCAAGAAGAACATCAATACATTTCTTCATTTTTTAAATAAGATATTTAGATTTTAAATCGTTTCTATAGCAAGGTAGCTTTATGGAAAACATACTTCTATTATCTAGTGAAACTCCAAACAAATGTAAATCAAAGGAAAGATATACACTATTATCTTTTGTCAAAAGTTTCTCACACAATTAAAATCGAGGATTTTGACCATCAAAACTAGAGTGATTGTTTTGTATAAGGACCTATTTTCCTTTGCCAGGCTGAACAGGTTCGTATATATTTGGGCATTTAAATGCCAAATTCAGCTTGTAGGCTCTTAAATCACTAGGTTCTTACATGTAGTTTTAGCTGGGTTTTTACTATATGTACTAGACAAGTATCCGCAAGCGTCGTGGAATTGGTTCGTTAAGAGTAGCATCCCAAGGGCTCTCTTGCCTGTTCTTAAAAACTTTCGCCGCCGTTTATTCCGACCCAACTGCCCTCTCCTGGGACTCCGTAAGTGGATGGCATTGGGTCAACAATTCAGCGAATTGCTCACTTCTATCATTAAAATAAAAAAAGTGACAAAAGTCAGACAAACACGAAGGTAAATATTTGTTTCAAAGCAGAAAAGGGTTGTTAATCTGCAACTTGTATTTTTCGGGGGGAATAGCACAGATGAATATGAAAAGTGGGGATATAAAACTGAATTGAACAATAGGCTATTGTCACGACTTGCACATACGCCGTACCACACAGGCCATTAGTTAGTGCCCTGATGCTTTGAAGGCCCTTTCATAAGCCCGCCTTGCTTCAGTGTGTTCGTCCAAAATCAGTTTGTAGAATAACGATCGACTGGGAGAAGATATGAATCTGCCATTTTTCTTGCTTGTAATTGTAGCTCTTGACTGCATAGGATTAATTTCTAATATACGAATGCTCTTCAGGCTTTTAAGCTGCTGCTTCAGGAAAGAAAACAAGTACAGATACCTGGTTCCTTGGATGACATGTCAGTTTGTTTATCAAATGGTTTTTCTAGTGACAGCGACCATGTACGCGTGGAACATTTATATCGACGACAACTATGAATATTGCTGTGCACTAAGACGCCTCAAGGAAACTGTGGAAATTCTTGAACTTTTAAACCTGTTTCACTTGTTTGCAATTTTGGGGAGCGAAATTGAACAAAAGGTTCGCGGACTGCTTCGACCGACAACTCCTACACTGATAATATCGGCGGCGTTGCCTGGTATGGCAATCATGAACTTCGCAATCCTGTTTTGGCCCCTTCAAGAGTTAAGTCGAGATATTGCGAACCTGGCGATCTTCTTCTTGTTGATCTTCAACGTTCTCGCCCTAAAGTTTCTCTATTCTTGTTTCGCACCCAAAGAAAGTTGCACTGAGGCGGTGGAAAATACACTAGAATGGTTGATCTTCTCTCTTATGGATAAGGAAACGAAAAATATATCGCTGGAGTCACTACTGTCGTGGAGGAACTGTCTTAAAGACAAATCTCTGGCACTTTTCTCAGGCATTTTGTCCTTAGTCATCTTTATTGTGTATCTACCGTCGTCCAGAGTAGCCTTTTACTTCGGTAGCACCCTGAAACAGATCTCGCTCTACACTTTGTTGGTATTTCAGAATATATTTTTTGGAACTTTCATTCCCAGTTTCTTTTCTCTGTGTGTATTAATTCAATTTACAGAAAACTGAAGTCGACTTATGTATAAGGAGAATTTCCACCATAGGCTTTAGAAATAAACGTAAAAATATCAGTTCAAGTAAAGTAAAATTAAAAATTATTCACACTTAAAATGACATTGTTGTTAGAAAATTTTAGTCCTGTTTTCTTGTCTGTATGTATTGATTCAACTTTCACACAACGGGAGACGACTGTGTTGGACAGCCTCTTCACTATATGCTAAATAAACTAAAAAAATATTTCACGCCATTAATATTTAAAAACTTCAAAGTAATTATTTTTCCACAGAAGAACTTCAAATGAACTTTAAAGTTTGTTTCTAATAAGATAATTTTGATATTGATCGCATACCATGTTCACTTTCCTCAAAGCTCATGAAACCGCAAATTGGCCAAAACTTCTGTATAAATATTTGCTGGCTTTCACTGTGACGCAATCAATGACAAAAAATTGAAGCCATTCAATAAATGAAGTCACTTTCTTTCCAAGATTTATGCCTGTGCTGGCGACATATTCGGAGAATGTTTTTTTACCCTAATCTTCTTAACGGACGACGACGGCGGCGACGGAAGGTGGAGAAAACCCCTCTTGAAAAGTGAATTCATGCTGTTTCCAAGTTCATTACTCTTATTCCTTGTCGTTCAATTAATCAAATGTAGGTGAATATTTCTGGAGTTGAATTCGAAAGGACTGTTTGTATATCTATGTTAGAAAAACTGAAAAAATAGAAAATCGTTGTCTTAGTTCAAGTCCTCCACAAGACGTGAAATTAAGCAGTTTCTCGTCGTAGTGGTGCTGTGAAGGCATAGAAATGTACAGAAAGCGTAATTCGCGTGCATAGTTGTTGTTTTGCTAATGCCTATTGCTTTTTTGGCGTTCCCGTTGCCGTTCCCTATTTTAGCCCTGTCCACACTAATACATCGATCGATTCGCGTCCACATTACCGGCGTTTCGATGCGTTTCCGACTGTCCACACAAAAACGTTCGAAAACGGTAGAATTACTTGTGACGTATGTGCGTGCTACAAACACAAGCACATGCGATATTTCAGTCATCGTTTTCATTTTGATGCGTTTTTTACCGTCTTCGACTATCCACACTAACGCGATATGTATGCGTCTTCGTTTTGATCCTCTTAGTTTCAAGAGCGTCTTCAAATCGATGCTTTTCCGATAAAACGTTCAGTGTGTTAGTGTGTATGCAGATCAGAGCACCTAAACACATCGAAATGTACGCGTTTTCAAACTAAACCGCATTGGTGTGGAAGGGGCGTTAGAATTAGCCAATGATAAAAGCGTATGTGAAATGCTCGCGTTCACGTAGTCATGGAGATCCCGGCAGAAGCCTAGGAAGGTCAGTGACCGATTTTCTTTTCTTTTTTACTTTTTACTTGAGGTTTTCTTTTTATACTTTTTTCTTTTCACTTTTTGATCTGCCGTTTTGAGTTTATTTTTTCCACTATTTGAGGTTTGTTTAAGTTTTCCTTTTCAAGGTTTTCAAAATGAATTTCTCCTGCTTCCACTCTCTTAGCCTGCCAAAACAGACGTTTCTCCTCGCTCATCGCCGCTGGGGGTTCCCAGGCTACCACTTTCTAATTACATTTTGTTTTGATTTTATTTTTTTGGTTATTCTATTTTTTTTCGTCTTTTAGTTTTCATTTTTAACCTTTTAATATTTGTTTTGAAGTTTTTGCTTTTTATTACTGAATTAAATATACATTCTTGAAAGAATGAAAGATGGTAAATTTTAAACTCGGTGAAACAAATGAGAATATGAAATGACATGCTGATTAATTCATTTTCACATATACATTCTTTATGTTTTTTAGTATTCAATTTTTAATTTATTTTGTAAGCTTTTCTCTCTTGTTTCAAAAAATCAAAAAAGAAGAAATCAAAAATAGGTCCACTCTGTAGGCGAACATGTGGCGAGTGTTAAATGGTCAAACAGGGAGAAGAAGTTTAGTACACATAAGGATAGGTCGTGCTCTCCTTCGATGAACCGTTTCTGGTAGATTTGCTTTAGGTTTCACTATAGAAAAAGACTTTTGCTTTGTTTGTAGGTCTTATTTTTTTATCGTTTTATCGTTTCTTACGCATACTGATACAGGACAAGTTTTAAGTAATTCTTTTTCACGTGACATTACAGACTATAGGAATTAACATCAAAATCGACGTGGCCTATTGTTAATTTTTTTTTTTTTTTTTAGTTTGACTCGTAAAAGGTTTCTACTTCGTCTGGAGTGAACTTGTAAGTTCCTGCCAGGAATGTTCGGGCGAAGGTGCTGCTGTAGCTGTACCCACTCGGTGCGCTGTAAGTCCAGCCCAGGTTGCAGTATGAATTGCTATTGGATGACGCGGAGTTGGAAATGATAATGTCATGTCCTCCTCCAAATGTGGGCCCATACGATGACTGAAAACGGATCGAATGGGCGTTTCTTCCTGTTTGAGGCAGTTTAACAGGTGCCCATCCTGGCTTGTTCACCAGTGAAAACAGAAAGGCTTTGGGGTCGTCCTGATACTTATTGCTGGAATCTATCAGAAAGAAAAGAAATGGAAAACAGCGGTCACTAGCGGCGCCATCTTGATACTCACCTGTGAAACCATCTCCCATGTACACAGAGTCCCACAGTCACGAAATAAATGTTTGTTAATAGTAGTTTACTTTCCTCATATAAACTTGTTTGAGTTGTAGCTGACAGTTTTTATTTGTCAAAACAAAACAAAGCAACTCTTAACTCTGCAATCACAGTTATCAAAATATAAGAAATAATAAACGCACAGCCGATTGAAATGCCTCACCACCAGTTACATTTATGTACATTTTCTAAGTTGTAGGCGCATTGAGGAGTCAGCTGAATCCGTCACCCTAATAGCTTCGATTTTTGTTGTTTACAAGATCATAGGTTCCTATCGCTTGTGTCTCCGATTACGACTCCTACTCCATTGCTATTGAGAACCCCACTCCTTTTTTCTAGAGCTCTATGCCTTTTAATCCGTGGTTATTTAAATTATATTTTTCACCCTTCCAAAGTTCGTTTGAATCTAGTAATTTCGCAATGCCCCTAATCCTCTTTCCAACCTGAGATCAGGCCCAATTTTAGCGGTTCTCATACATTCTCTCTAACGGCTACCGCTAAAATTGGGCCTGCTCTGTGTTCGTTTCGCCTTGCCCGCCGGAATGTTATTACAAAGCGAAACGAAAATTGAGCCTGATCTCAGGTTATCCTCTTTCCATCGATTTTAGGTTTTTTAAAGATATTCCTAATCTTTCCATCGTAATACTCCTTTTGATTTGAAAGTTACATCTAAATTTATAACATAACAAAAGTAAATCGCGCGCTCTGATTGGTCAGTTAGCCACTACCATTTGCCCGTGGGTGCACGCCAAGAAACTGAGCTGGCGCGGTAAAATTTAGGTAAATTTAACAA